TGAAGAATGAGACGGTGATTAAGAGATATGTTTTGTCCGACATTGCAAGACTTTACGATCCAATCGGGTGGATCGTGCCTGTGATATTTATGGGTAAAGTCTTTATCCAAAAACACTGGAAGTCTGGTCTTGAATGGGATGAAAACTTGTCGTCGGAACTCCTTCGCGAATGGTTAGAGACGATCTGGTAAATGTTCCCAGGCTTATTGTTCCAAGATGGCTGCAAACAAAAAGAGAGGATCATGTTGAGCTACACACCTTTGCAGGTGCTTCCCAAGCTGGATATGCTGTAGCTGTTTACCTAAAAACTTAAGATAAGGATGGTAAAGTTGCTGTTAATCTGGTTACATCTAAAACTAAGGTGGCGCCAGTTCAAAAAGAGATATCCATACCTAGCTTAGAGTTGTGGGCTGCACTTCTGGCTGCAAAGTTGAAACATGAAGTTTCAAGTTATGAAAGTACCAAAGAAAAAATTATACGCCTGGTTTAAGAGCACCGTGATGCTGGCATGGATTGTAGGATAACCTCATCGTTGAGTGACTTTTGTCGCTAACAGAGTATCAGAGATTCTTATAATACTGGATAGAAGTCAATGGAGACATGTAAACACAAATAATAACCCGGCGGATTGTGCATGCTGAGGCATAAGCAGTGAAGGGTTGGTTGATCACGAGTTGTGGTGGCACGGACCCACATGGTTGAGGGACAACAAAATGCATGAGAGCCAAGGCTGTCAAGAATCCAAAAGATTTTCTTTTGGACGAGATTTTCTTTGTTACCACGATTGTTACGCGTGATTATACTGCAAAAGATTTTTGAATTTAAAACTACCAAAGGAACAGAGACATAACTTATCGAAGACGGTAACGACCGACGAAATGAGCACGGTGATGAGACAATGTATAAAGGAGACACAAGTTTATATTTTGAAGAAGAGATTAAGCACTTAAAAACCCACAACTGGGTCCCAAAGAAGGGCCGTTTACATACTCTTAACCCGATTCTCGATGAGAACGGTGTATTACGAGTAGGTGGACGCTTTAATGAAGCCAAGGTTGACTATGACACTCGTCATCCAATATTTATGCCTATTGAGCGTCATCTTACTAAGCTCATAATTGCGGATGCTCACTTTACAACACTTCATGGCGGGCCACAGTTGATGCTTAAATTCTTGAGATCAAAATACTGGATATTACTGTGAAGAAGCAGTATAGACCTGTGCGAAATGCTAAGGTATTCGAGACAAAACAATCAGCTGATGGACCAAATTCGAGGATCGTTTAAAACCAACGAGACCCTTCAGGATCTCAGGAATTGATTTTACGGGTCATATTAATATTCGTTTTTCACCTGGACGAGGAGCAAAGTCTTACAAAGTCTATATCTGTGTTTTTATTTGCATGATTTCAAAGGCGGTACACTTAGAAGCAGTGACCGATATGACTGCTAAAGGCTTTATCGCAGCCTTTCGCAGATTCGTTTCAAGGAGAGGACATTGCAAGACCTTGTTTAGCGACAGTGGTAATAATTTCGTCGGCGCTGATAAAGAGTTGAGAGAAAGTTTTAATCGTGCTGTATCGCAGCTGCCGGACGAAATTAGTCCCCTAATTGCTAACGAAGATACGACATGGAATTTTATACCTCCACATGCCCCCAACTTCAGAGGCTTGTGGGAGGCCGGAGTTTGATCCACTAAAACACATTTAAAGCGAGTGGTAGGAGATTCTACGCTCACATATGAGGAGCTTTCGACTGTCTTAACTCAAATTGAGGCATGTCTCAATTCTCGTCCACTTTCTAATTTCAGTGACAATCCTGATGATCCCTTACCATTAATGCCTGGTAATTTTTAGTTGTGGAGCCACTTATTATAATATACCTGATGAATATTGTTCTAGTAAAAATGTAACTGGTCTTCAGATATGGAAATATACTCAAAAAATGATTAACGATTTTTGGAAAAAGTGGTCTTATGAATATTTAGTAACTTTAAATCAACGCTATAAATGTATAATGAAAAAGACTGAGCCAGAGATTAAAGAAGTTGTTATAATTAAAGATCATAACTTACCCCCTGCAAAATGGTTATTAGGTAGGGTCGTTTAAAAACATGTCGGTAAAGATCAGATTACACGTGTTGTAACGCTTAAAACTAAAAACGGATACTGTAAACAGCCGTGTAACAAATTATATTTTCTACCTAGGTCTGCAGACTAAGTTAAAATTTTTGTTTAAGTTGTAACTATAATATAGGGTTAGTTTGATGTTAGTTTTGAGTTTTTCCCTCAAAGTTGAGTACAAATTTATTTATGTATTTTTAAGTATTTTAATTATTTCCTTTTTTTGAGTGAGAACTCATGGTGAGCGGTGTACGCCAGATCACATAAAGCAAGTATTGTTTTGTGTTGCTTTATAGACCTTATTTAGGTTTGTATAATTTTTTTTTTGAAAGGTTGGTGTCCTTTGGTGGGCGGGTTGTTAAAAACATTATTCAAATTCAGCTCTAATCGTTCTACTCTAACCTTAGCATTTTAGTATCGCAAAATGTCTGGAGATGTCACTAGCGTCGAATTACAACTCGTTATCGTTGTGTTCACTGGCAAACCATATAGGGTCTGGGAATTTTAAGCAAATAAAATAGTTTCACTGCTGGTGACATCTGGAGTTTAATTTTAACATCCGCAAGTTTAGACAGACGCAATAACTTTAATGAAAATCCCCACAGATCTGTGGTTTTCTTAATATCAATAGTTCTAAAATATTTTACAATATATTTTGATGGTACTTTATAAATTGTAAAATTCTATGTACACGCATTTACATTTTATTTAAGTAACGGTTCGATGACAGCAGAAGAAGAATTCAGTGACTTAGTGGTTAAAATCGAAATATCTGTAAAATATCCCTCAAAAACCGTTGCAACGTCCTGATCTGATTTAGTTTAATTTTTTAAAATTTAACTGGTAGTTTGAATTACGAGAGTTGACCTTACCAGAGTTACTATTAATAATTATACTCCCTGTCATTTTAATTTCATTGTAAAGTTTATACAACCTTTATCTACTCTTATGGATTCCTACTGTCGCCAATTCATTAAATGCTTTGCCTTATTAATATAGCGTCTAATGGACCTAGTGACGTTATCCAAGACGCCACCAATCTGACTGCTGTTTGAATTGATTCTTAGTTATTGGAAATTAAATATTTTATTTCATGACACCAAAATAAAAGTTTATATTTTTTTGGTGTGAGATTAGGAGGCATAATAAATAGATTTCAATAAAACAATCACGTATATTCACTATTATTAAATCGTAATACATTTCAAACTTAGTAACATTCAACAACATTATCGATACTTTGATGTCTAAACGTTAATAATATGTCTAAAACGCGTTTTTGCCTTACATTTACTAGCATCACCTATTGGGGAATGGTTGAAATGTTTTCAAAATAAATATTCATCGTAGATAACTATGTTTTGGTGGAGGGTCTCACATACGCGCAAGCTTAGTTTTTGTATACAAATGTTCCCAATGTCCGCTTTGTAGTATATATTTTAATCGCTTTGGTTAGCAATGAAAATAAGCGGATAAATTACGTAAACTTAATGAATAAGTCAACAAAAACAGTATATAACAAAAACTAAACGAAAGCGTATACAAGGCACTAACGGCGCGGCGTCAGAACTCGTACGTATATAAACAGTATTTATGAATCGTACTGAACTGATAACAAAATAGCAGACTGACAGAAAGATGACGGGAAGGATTGTTGTCACAAACTTGGAAACAATAGAAACTACTTTTGTTTTCAATTTTTTTCCAGAATAACAGCTAACAATATAGGGCAAATATAATCGTGTCACGATTTATTTCAAAACCAGTTTTTGATAGTCTGTGGTTGTTCGTTATGGCATGCCATCGTAGACAGAGAAACCTATAGACTAATGACTAGCGTGGCCTCGAGTGAGAAAGGACGATAACGTAGTTTTAGATTATACAATAATCTTCATGACTTAAATATATTTAGATAAAAATTTTAATTGTTCTAAGAACTGAACTGAACAAGATTCGCCAATCTTAAGCTCACAAAACACTTTTTTCCCACTTAAACCAACTTGTAAGCTCCTTAGATCGCTACGAACTGTCAAAGATGTTTAGCAAAGCGTAGTTTGCTAAACAAAAAAACCGGCACGGAGAAAGGGACAAACAATCACACGCTCTATCTCATTTCTATGCAAGACGTATGTATAAATCTATCTTTTTCGTGTGCGAATGCGAAAGAAGGCGTCACTTTGTCTATAGGTTTCTCTGTCTACGAAAGCGCCTTAGTACGTACCTAAAATCCCTGTTAAATATGCAACAGACTGCGTTGCATATTTAACAGGGATTTTAGGTCTGCCATAACAATAAAACTCCCCAATTTTTTCGGTTCGTTATTCGTTTTTAGTTTTCCTCGTGTCATTAATATAATGTTGTTATAATGCAAATAAAGCATTGTTTTTATTTTGTTTTTGGCGTTTTTGAACACACCGTCACCCAAATAACTCAAGATTAAAATATAGCACAGGTTCGTCTTCCAAAATTGTGACGTAGGGAAAAATTAGGAACCGGAGGAAAAAAATGATTTGGACGATTTTGAAATGAGCGCTACGTATCTTTTACGTTGTGAAGTAAGTCTACTTGTAAGGTCAGTCTTTCTTTTTTTGTGTACCAATCAGATATTCCGAGTAAAAGTAATAAATGTTTAATACCCTCTGCATATTTTTGATATACAACAAGAAATAAAAAATCTTGTAAAAAATGGTTGTAAAATAAGTTACAAATAAACTTACTTATTACTAAAGTGCTTGCTTTATGAAAAATATTCGTTGTTTTTGCGCCATGGAAAGATCAAAGAATAATACTATATTTAGGCACTATCATCAATTACCAGACAATTCCGTAAAGTGCTCTTTTTGCGAAAAGCATTATAAAAAGGGGCATGTAATAAAAATGCAGCAACATCTTCTGACCTGCTTTAAATGCCCACAAGCCGTAAAAAAACAAATTAACGATGTCAATAAGTCACAATCCAACTTAACACCAGAATCCACAACCACTTCATTGAACTCGGAGAACACATCGACCGAGAATATTAGAGATTTAAGAGAAGAGTTTGCGAAGGCTCTATTAATCACGGGAACACCTCTAGCAATGGTAAAACACCCATTGTGGGTAAAATTTTTTGAAAAATTAAATTTATATTGCCTAATAGAAAGTCTATTGCAACTAAATATCTAGAAAAAATATATAAAGAGATAAATAAAGAAATCAGTGATGGTTTCAAAGCATCAAATTTTCTACACTTGCAATGCGACGGCTGGACTGATGTTTGTAATGAAGGCATTATAAATTTTTTAATATCCAAGCCAGAACCTGTTTTTATAAAAAGTCTGAAAACACTTCATAATCGGCACACAAGTGAGTATTTAAGTTGTGAAACTGAAAAAGTAATGAAATCATACGGAATGAGTAAATTTGTAGTCCTTATTGGAGACAACGCACGAAAAGCCCAAAAGTCATTCGAAATGATAAAAAACAAATACCCATATGTTGTGCCATTGAACTGTGCTGCTCACACTCTGAATTTATTATGCATTGATGTAATAAAAGCACATGAAGTTAAAGCTTTCATAGATCTCGCAACAGATGTTATTAAAAATATTAAAAAAGTCAATTCTTAAGTGCTTTATTAAGTAAAATTAGAAAAGAAAAAAGCTCTAGTCAGAGTCTAAAATTATCCTGTAAGACAAGATGGGGCAGTCGTGTCAGTGCACTAAAAAGTCTGAAAATTAATAAAGCTGCACTAAATACTTTAGCTGTTAATGAAACCTTCAGCCAACGCCCGATATTAAATTTACACTTTTAGATGAAGATTTCTGGTCTATGATAGAACAATCCATCAGTGTTCTTGAGCCTATAGCAGAAAGTATCTTTAAACTAGAAGGCAACGAATTCAACATACATAAAGTATTTATGGTGCTAAGAAACCTGAAATCAAAGTTAGAATTTGTGTTACCAACAATCACAATGCTGGATGACGACAGCAAGGAGAACATAAAAACTTATATTGAAAAACGAGTTAAGCAGTGCATAAAACCCATACATTAGATGTTTGATCCTAAATCTGCAGGCATTGAACTAAATCAGGCGGAAGAAACTGAAGCTATGGAATTAATCTATAACCTCGCTGAGCATTGCAACATTGACTGTCTTGCTGACCTGGTTAAATATAAAGCTGAAGAAGGTCTTTGGAGCAAACCATTTACTTGGAAGGCCGCTGAGAAAGTAAATCCCATTTTATGGTGGAAGGGGATATGTGGCTCAAGTCAGTTAAGTATAGTTGCACTTAGAGTATTGACTGCACCCTGCACGTCGGCAGCCACCGAACGGTCGTTCAGCACACAGGGATTTATACATAGTGCTAAAAGAAACCGTCTCACATCAGAAAGAGCGGCGAAAATAACTTTCTTATCGTATAATTGGAACCTATTAAATAAAGGTGAAAACATAAATCGTGTTTACAGTGAAGATACTGTTCCAGAAAGGTCCGACATGGAAGACACAGATGATGATATGTTGCACGATGCTGCCATGGAGGGTCACACGCAAGAGGATATGGATTCTTCTCTCAGGGAACTCCCTATATAACCAGTAGCTTCAACTTCACAACAAACTAATCATATTGAATTCGTAAATATTAGCGAATGTTTATATGATACCGATAGTGATTAGGCTAATGAAACTTGTAATACAATAAAAAAATACTTAATTATTAATATGAGTGTGATTTTAATTGAACTATAATAAATTGATTTTTAGAATTTCATATTGTCCTATTTTGTTTCATTATTTGATTAGTACATATTGTTTTATTTTATTAACTAAGCACATATTCTAATATTTTTATATAAAAATTATATTGTTGATTCTTGTTATGATTTTCACATGACAAAGTATATCAATGTTATTATTTTAAAATAAAAACGTATTCAATCATGAAAATTCCTTGTTTTATTTCTTTAATAAGTACAATTTTACATTAAAAATTGAATTTGATTACGTTTTAGTATTACTTTTTTGCCCTGTAATTGGACATATATTGGGCAAAAATAAATTTATGCCCAAAATGTCGAGTTTTTGCCAATTTTTCCCACCGGGCAGAAACAAATTGCCCATCTCTCGCAGCTGTCCAGTAATTAGTAAGGTCTCTGAGACCAAGTATTTAGGAGTCATAGTTGACCAACATTTGTCATGGAATAGACACATCAATTCAATGAATTAATTAATCGTGAATATTTTTCTAGCCATATGACATTCGCGCATCGGACACGGGGGCGTCCGTTGCGCAGGAGTAGTTGGATCCCATGGAGGAAGGCACGCCATGCGTTCTGGTGCGCCTTACTTGAGAAGAAGAAAGGGAGGAAGTAGCCCTCTTCCACGGAGGCACCGCCATGGGGCGGCTGTTGCTGGTGGGGCCGCGGATGTGTGCGAAAGCGTTCCCATGGCCTTACCAATATGCGAGGAAGTTAGAACACCATGGGGTTTTAGTCGGTGCGAGTACAACATAGCCCGCCCTTGCCCCTGCAAGGCGGGTATGCGTAGGCATTTCCCCATGTTAAAAAAAGTTATCCAAGTTTCATGATTTCTACATGCTGCAATCCAAGTCTGCCGCCTAAGAAGATCTCTGGGAAATGTGTAAAATCAAACCAATAATAAAAAATGTACTTCTTTTTGTAATACTTTATTATAAAATCTAAACAAAAAATAAAATCCTGTTCGGACGACAAAGCCAAACGTTTATTTAACTTATAGATAGCTGAAGTTGTGGCATACATTGCTACATTACAGTACTTTCTGTTGCAGTGATACCAGTTTATTTAAAGAAAAATTGCATTCATTTGCTACGAAGTGGCAAGTTCCGATCCTACTTATTTGGCCTTTATTTTTTATAATATTTTGATAAGTACTAGTTATCAATTATTTTAAATTAGCCCGCATGGTCTGAAAACAAAAACTGAGTTTTATAGATTTGTCAGAGATTTATTAAAAGGAAACTGAGCAAAATTGATTTATCAGCCTATTTATATGTTTTGAAACGCAGCGTATAGGAAAGCATGAAAATAGCCTGTTTATTTCAAATGGAAATGGGATATTTTTTTTAATTAAAGGAAACTGAGCATAATTATCCGTCAGGGATGCAGACTTTTGAAAAGAAACTGAGCAAAATTGATTCGTCAGAGATGCAGTTTTCTGAATTGAAAAGAAACTGAGCCATATAACAGATCCGTCAGAGATGCAGCCTTTTGAGTTGAAAGGAAACTGAGCTTAATAGGTCCGTCAGAGGTGCAGCATTTGGAATTGAAAAAAAACTGAGCTAAATAGGAAATTTTGATTTGAAAAGGAAGATCTGTGGGAATTCTGATTAATAGACTGTGGGAATTTTAGAAAAAAAAACTAACTGAACACAAGACTCTACTGTACACAATGTTATATGTTTTTCCATTCGGGGAAAGAATGTGGAGATTCTGGGCATTTGACACACGCGAACATGCTGCATACAGCTGACTATGAGAGAAGCACGGTTTTTCTAAGTTGACCCCCGCTACCTGTCACGATTGCTCTTGCGCTTTATTAATTGTCATTGTGAAACTGAGCTTAATAGGGAATTGCAACCTTTTGAATTGAAAAGGAAGATCTGTGGGAATTATAGGGATCTGTGGTATAATAACATTTTCACCTTTTCCTACGCCTGTCAAAATTGTAGCACCGATTATGTTCCGTCCAAGATGTGTCGCACGCAGCCTTGTCCCATTACATAACCGAGGAGAATCTAAATTTCGCATTAGCATGACTGGAACACCTAATTTTAATTGAAGTTTGTATGAGGGCACACCTGACAACTCTAGAGAATTTAGAAACTCTACGGGATATGAAGTGCTCTGTCCTGTGTCCATAACTTTGTATACTGACAAATACTCTGTTATTTCTCCTGCTACTTCGCTTAATATATCGGAATTTATTTTGTTAACGCTCTCATTTTTTGGTGCAAGAATCGCCCTTTCACATAACCATTTGCCTTCATGCATGTTGTTCGTTAAATCTGAATAAACGCTCGCAATTAATTCGGAATGACTCTGTACTAAATTACGAAAATCTCTCGTCAATTTAACGCAGCCCTCAGCATCCGTTTCCAACCGCCCATCGCCAATTTTTAATAGTGTGTCAGCATAGTTTCCAGCATTGATATCATTATACAAATGCACTCTCATATTCGTAGTTAAACTGAATGTTGTCACCTTGTTCCATAAAAATAGACGACTTGAGGCATGCTTTAATTTCATCTGCAGGTGTGCCCTTTTGAATGACAGGTAAAGTTTGGCGAAAGTCACCAGCCAGTAAAACCACCATTCCTCCCATTACATCGGTATTGCTGCGCAAATCCTGGAGCGTTCGATTTAGTGCTTCTACAGCTTTTTTATGCGACATTGTACTTTAGTCCCACAATAAAAGTTTGCATTGTCGTAGCATTATACCTCGTGCACTATTTTTTGCTAAAGTTGAAGATCGGCGATTCTTCCTGGGCTACATTTAGAGGGAGTTTTAAAACAGAATGTGCAGTACGGCCCCCGCTTAGCAGCGTGGCAGCTATACCGGAGAAAGCTACGGCCACAGCAATGTTTTTATCTTTCCGTACTTGCGCTAATAATAAATTTAACAAAAGTGTCTTCTCACTTCCTCCAGGGGCATCTAAAAAGAAAAGTGCACCATTTCCAGATTCAATTTGTCCTAATACTTTGTCAAAAGCTCGTTTTTGTTCGGGAAGCAGGCGGGGTACAAATTCGGCTACTTGCTGCTGCAAAGCTGGTATATCGTAGTTTGTTTGACGTATAATTTCATCACTTAGTTCATTTTCGGTTGTTCGCTGAGGGCTTATCATTCCAAAGTCGCTTAATTTTTTGCCTACCATTCCCATTACTTTATCTTCAATTTTTCCAAGTGCTTCATTATAAATGTGTTCATTGTATCTCATGTTCGCGTGTGTCTGCTGTAACCTTCGCAAAATATCTTCCGCCATGTACTCTTTATATTTGTCCCACAATTCATGTGCCCGCAAGATGATATAAGCGTTGCATAAAGATCCCTAATTTTGGCTAGTGACTGGCACTGCACAACTTCCTCCATGGTTTCATCCCAGTGATTATCGTTTTCTAAAATGTGCAGAGCTTCACATGCTTCTCTATAAGTTGCGCATTCCTGACCGTTGACAGTTTTAAATTCTTTATATCCTGTAGGACCCCGAACATGGTGCAGCAGCAATCGTAAACAAAAACTTTCAAAATTAGTTACATGGACGGTGTTACGGATCGCCGTAACGCCGTTCGAAAAATGAATAAAACGCGTTGTTCTTATATAGGAGGCAAGCGGCGGTGAGGAGGAACTTGTACTTTTATTCTTCTTGCAGTGCCTTTTCAGTGGCTGTAGAGTGACGACGGACCCTACCGGCCGGTCCGTCTTTTATATGATTCGGCCACGGTTGGCCAGCGGACCCTTGCCTCACCCCCGCGCCTTTATTTATTTCTTTAAAATTTTTATTTATTAACAATCATTTTTAATTATATAATATTTTTACATCTAATTCTTATACTATTATGTACACAATAATTATCTTATACTCTAAAAGGTTTTAAACCTTGTAATTTACAATTTTTAAGCTGAGAACCCTGCCCCGCACCTCAGCACTATAAATATAAAACGTCGTGACGCCCTACGCGTAGCTTCATTAATTCTGCGGCCGCATCACAATAACATGCCCTGATAAAGTTATAATTATCTTAAGAAAGGTAATTTATATGAATGGTAATATGTATACAATAAAGGTGATATGCAACAAAGGTAAATTAATTATAAGAGTACAATTTATACTTTAAATCTATGCTAACTCTCGTTATTTATTCGATGCCTTTATTGGGAGAGTTATTTGCATAGTTACAACATCATTCTTTCTTTATTATCTTATTCTAAATCTTATATTAATATAAGTTATACATATTTAACAAATTAAATACAATAACCAAGACTACGGCTGTTTTTCTGTGTTGTTGTATGCACCCTCGCTAGTTGTCGAACCTCGCTGGTCGCGACCCCCGTGGCTCCGCCCACCGCCCCTGAGTTGCTCAACCAGTGCTGGTTACACTAAGCAGGTATCTCGTCGCTTGCGTCGTGCATATTCTCCCGCCGTCGCCACGCTGCGATCCCTCTGGTAGCACGACGATCTTCTTTGTTGGTCTGCGTAGTACATGCCCACTGCTAGTGGTTACGTCCACTACTCGTACCTCTCCGTCGACGCCGGGATACACGTTGCTTATTTTTCCCCTGGGCCAGATGTTGCGCGGTAGATTGGAGTCACAAATGATGACCAGGTCTCCAATCTTTGGTGATGCGCCTATGCTGCTGGGCTCCCGCCGGTGTTGGAGTAGGGGCAAGTATTCCTTCACCCATCTTCGCCAAAATATGTCTGCTAGGGCTTGAGCTCGTTTCCACTGCTGGCGGGCCGTCACGTCGCTCTTGCTGAAGTGTCCTGCTGCAGGTACATGTGAGTTGGAACCGATGAGGATGTGATTCGGCGTGATAGCTTCCGGGTCTCCTGG